ACCATTGTTTTTCATAATAACGACGGCCCGGCATGGCCAGGTGGTTAGGGCGCTCGACTCGCAATCCCCGTCACACCAAACATGCTCGCCCTTTCAGTCGTGGGGGCGTTATAAAGTGACGGTCAATCACACTATTCGTTGGTAAAAGAGTAGCCCAAGAGTTGGCGGTGGGTGGTGATGACTAGCTGCCTTCCCTCCAGTCTTACACTGCAAAATTAGGGTCGGCTAGCGCAGATAGCCCTCGTGTAGCTTTGCGCGAATTCCATAACAAACAAACATAATAACGAAAAATAGATTGGCCAAAGAGGGTGCTAACATGGAACTCATAGCGACACCATCAATTTGATTGTAAAGATTAGCGTTAAGAATAAATTGAGACTCTTTGGTAGCAAAATTTAACGAATTCAGAAATACTGATTTATTGTCCGAATTATTGTTATAATAGAAACCATCACTTCACTGTATAGTTTCTTCTGATTTGTGTAAAGAGATTCAATATTTAAACATCATTAAGAAACCTCAATTACTGTGTTTAACTAGAAAATTCAAAACTGTCCTTCAGCGTATATTCATTAGTAGTAAATGTCTTCAGGAATTCAACCAGAAAAACAGCCAAAGTAAGGTTATAAGTTTCAATACTTAGAAACTATATATCACAATGGAATTTTAGGAATACCATAAACCTTTTTTTTATGATACCTGGTGGTCTAATGCTCAAATTTTGTCCGTCATTGAGAATAATATCCTTTCTCAGTTTTAATAAGTACCTTTGTAATTTGGCTAAACTAACATCAGTAAGATTACGGTGTAACTTTACAAGCGTAATTAAAATATTTTCTGCTTTTCTTGAATCTTTATCCAAAATTACAATACTATTTCCTTTCAGAACAATCCTAGCATTTTTACTCAGATTCTTTGTAACTCCTCTGATCTCAAATTTAGAAACTTTTATATCCACAATTATAGTCATTGAAAGAAGTTAACAGTTTACCATTTCTCAAGTTGTTAAATAGAGTAAGCTGATTAATGTGACAATGACTACAAAAATTGTTCAAATCGTACAAATAATCTTTAAACTTGAGCCTACTTCTAATACCAAATTTTAAACTATGAGGTAAAGCTTTTTTTGAATATCAAACTTTAAATAATTAAAAGTAACTTCACCGGCTTGTTCTATAAAAAGTTTTTTAGCTAACTATCGCCTTAAATTGGTCAAGTTAACAAACTGTTTTTTCCTGCATTTTAAAAGAATTTGATTATTTTGTGTTTCAATAAAACATTTGAACTGTTAAAAATATAAACCATTTACTTGGTTTTCAACAATTTAAATGCGTCTATAGATTGTCGTGTTAAAGATGTGAATGACTGATTCTTTTATTTTCTTCGGTTTTGCAATATTGTCTGTAATAGCGAAAATGAGGAACAGAAACTTCAAAACTTAAGAAACGAGAAATTATTTCCAAACTTTTATATCCATTTAAAAATTTAAGTGTAATTTAGTTTTGAATATTTCAAATGTATTTTTCCGTATTCCTGAAGAGAGTGAGTTTCCGTTATATTCTTTAATGATGTCAGCATGATATTTATTTCTTTTGTTTTTAGTTTGTTGTTAATCACAAAGTTACACAATGAGCTACCTGTTTTATGCCTACTACAGGTATCGAAATCCGGTTTTTACCGTTGAGTGACATTAATTATTCAGTTGCTATTGAGGGCAGTATTTTATCAAATGATAAGTCCCATATCCTTCTTCCTTACATTTTTACAATCCAAAAATTTCAACTGTTGGTGTACAATTTAGCGCAGAAAGGCAGGGTCGCTGGTTTGATATATAACAACAATTCGATCAGTGTGATTATTTCCAAATCAGTTTTTCTGAAGTTGATAAACTTTGCTACAAAACTGCCCTCTAATCCTTGTAAACATCCATGTCTGCCCTAAGTTATGAACCAGACAACTCTTTAACCCTTGTAAACAGCTATGTCTGCTCGAAAGTCACAAACCAGACTACCCTCTAACCCTTATAAGCATCTTTGTCTGCCCAAAAGTCATTAACGAGACTACCCTCTAATCCTTGTAAACATCCATGTCTGCCCGTAATTCATGAACTAAACTACCCTCTAACCCTTATAAGCATCTTTGTCTGCCCAAAAGTCATTAACGAGATTACCCTCTAATCCTTGTAAACATCCATGTCTGCCCGTAATTCATGAACTAAACTACCCTTTAATCCATATAAATATCCATGTCTGCTCGAAAATCATAAATCAGACTACCCTCTAATCCTTGTAAACATCCATGTCTGCCCGAAAGTCATGAACCAGACTACACCCTAATCCATATAAGCATTATGTCTGCCCGAAAGTCATGAACCATACTACCTTATATGACTTGTAAACATTCATGTCTGCCCGAAAGTCATGAACCAGACTACACCCTAATCCATGTAAACATTATGTCTGTCCAAAAGTCATGAACCAGACTATCCTCCAATCCTTTTAAGCATCTATGTCTGCCCCAAAGTCGTTGTAAATATCTATATTCTCTCGAAAGTCATGCTCAAAATGATATGGCAGACTTCGCTCTAGTTCTTCTAAACACGTATCTGTCCAAAATTCATAAGCCAGACTCCTTTCTAATTTTTTAATCAGCTGTCTGTTCAAAAGCTATAAGGCAGATTACTTCTCTATTTCTTGAAAAGTTGAGTATCACTTGTTCCAAATACTAAAGTAAATAGTTATTTCTAGTGTCATCGACTTGTTTACATGTCTATAAGAATCTCTTGAGGTAGAACTTCAGATTTAAACAAATCCTACATAAAATGTGAACTCAACAATAATCCAAAAAGCCTAAGAGCACCAAAACACTAAAAACTCACCAAAACTCACCATCCACTTCCTGAATCATTAATACTTTCTTTCTCTGCATCGTATAAGCTGTTGATTTCTTTCTAGAATATAATACGTTTTGCTCAAGTATTCATTCTAAATTTATCACTTTTTTTTGCTCAAGAATTCACTTTTGTTAACCAAACTCTATAGCGCTGCCATCTATTGCTCAAACTTTTAACAAATGATTACAAAGAATATTTAACTAATATTTATGTAAGTTAGTAAGATGAATTATAACAGTAAATCATTAACTAATATCACGTGGTTTGAAATATTCTGGATTCATCAAAAGCTGGTTGCAATAGAGTTAAAAAGGTTTAAACCTGACGGTTAAAAATACATTCGAATCTTGTTCTGACTCGAGAAACAGCATTGAGGATGGATTACAGTTAAAATTCGTGATATATTTTAGAATTATCAATATGAAGTAACTATTAGAACAGGACACCTTGACTATCGTCTTTTGACTTCACTTATTGCTAACATTCTTTTCAACATGTAAATGTTTTTAAAGGTATTTCATAAATAATATTTTCTTAACAACTATGCATTGACAAGCAAGATTCCTAGACACGTTAAGATCACTACCCTGTGAAACGTTCGACTTTATACATTGCAATCAGCACGATTGTTTGCGGTATGAGTGGAACTGTAAGATATCTGAACTTCTGGTCATTTTTAACTCTTTCCTATAATGCCCTCATTTCCATGCGAGTAACGTCGATTTTCTTTTCATAAGTTTATTTAGATTTCTTTTATAAACAGTTTACATAAGAATCTTTATGCTAAACTACGTATCACATAGGTCGGAGTGTGCTTTATGTCAAAGTAGTGGCAAGTGACAATAGTCAACCGCTGACTTCGCATCTGCTTCAGATTTTCTTTCTAGAATTACTCTATAAGCTAGATAAGGATATGCTAAACATGCAAAAATTTGATACAACGTATGCTGAATTGCAATAGTCGTTAACCTGCCCTTGAAGATTTTATTTTTTTATGATCTGGTTATTTACAGCCATATTGCAGAAATAGCAGTTTCAGTACGAAACTGAACAATAATGACTAATGGTAATGGCTCATTAGGTTGGGAAAAGTTTCATAGAAACTACTGAAACAAGCGAGTTCCCAATAGACCTCAGAAAATAGCTACACATATTTTTGATAATAGTCGTGAGTTAACCAAATGGTTATATCAGTAGACAGTTAAAAACAATAATACACTTAGAGCGAAAATAATGGCCTACTATTAAAAATGACGTTTGGAGACATATCGGTAGACTTACGAAAAGTGATATTCTTTGAAAAAAAAACAGTATAATAAAATTTAAAACTAACACTGCATGCCACGAGATTGATTATTGATTTATAAAACTCAACACTGTTTATCATGAAAGATGATTATTAGTTTGTAAAACCCAACACTTTATATCATGAAACATGATTATTGGTTTGTAAAACCCAACACTGTGTATCATGAAAGACGATTATTGATTTGTGAAACCCAACACTGTGTATCATGAAAGACGATTATTGATTTGTGAAACTCAACACTGTGTATCATGAAAGATGATTCTTGATTTGTGAAACCCAACACTGTGTATCATGAAAGATGATTCTTGATTTTTAAAACTCAACACTGTATATCACGAACTGTTGTTTTAGTCTCATTTCCAGTCTGGATTAAGGTTTTTTCCTATATATTTTCTTGAGTGGATAACTTGTTACACGTATCTCATTATTAGTTGTAATTTGAATGAGGTACTGTAAAATAACGAAGAAATTAGAAAATTTAACATTTTATTGATTTTTTTATACTATTCTTATATGTTATTTATAAATTTAATGAATGTTTTATATACAAATGAAAAATGCACAAATTCGCAATTTCCAAATGTTATTTCGAAAATTTCGCGTTAACATTTGTGCATTTAAGAATTTTCATATGTACCTTCCATTCTCATGATTAACACTGAAAAATTAGAACATGAGTTTTAGTGTCTTAAAATTCGTTTAAATCCTTAAAATAGAAAGTAAAGTAACCATCTTGTCGTATTATGTGTATAATAAATGGACATGACGTATAACATTATGTTCTTTCTGATCACCCAGCTCTCTTGTCTCAAGTTGATCGTCACCATCTGAGAGATTCCTTACAGACATTAAAGTCCATGTTCCACCTGCTGGGAGAGGGAGCCAGCTCCATCTTCCTCTATGCCATCCTGAAAGAGTCTAAATTCAATGTGAACACAGCCTACAATAAAATCGTAGAAGGTAAGATATGAGACCATCATTAACTTCAGGATAAGACATTTTCTTAGTTATATGAGGCCATCAGATTAAGACATTTTTTGTTAGTTATATAAGGCCATTGCGTACACTTAACTTTCAGGGTAAGACATTTTCTTAGTTATATGTGGCCATCAGTAACACTTAACTTTCAGGGTAAGACATTTTTCTTAGTTATGCGAGGCCAAACGATCACTTAACTCTGAGAGTAAGACAGTTGTTATATGAGGCCATCAGTAACACTTAACCTTCAGGGTAAGACATTTTCTTAGTTATGCGAGGCCAAACGATCACTTAACCCTGAGAGTAAGACAATTTTTATATGAGGCCATCGCGTACATTTAACCTTATAGTTAGGTACCTGCAATCTTTCAAGTTAAGTTATTGTTTCTCAAAACACTATATTTTACCATATTATTAAATGTAAGTACAAAAAATATAATGTTTGACTACAGTCTTTGAAATTAGAAGTTTAACAATACTAACTGCATAACAAAAAATATTATTTTTGATATTTCCATCTTACCAGCAGAAACCGATGCATATGATGTTTCCAGTTTTGAACAAAACCTAATTTTGGTAACACCAATGTTCAAGAGTAAATGATATTTTTGGTAATAGCAAATGTTTTAGAAAAAGCGATATTTATGGTATTCTGAACCATATAACAAAGAACGTTTTTGTTATTACTAGCTGTCTAGCATTGCGAGACACCTTCCTTAAGTCAAATATTTGATTTAGTGTTAGAATATTTACTTGAAACAACTTTTAATATGGAGCTAGTATCGTTACTTAAAACAAGATGTTGATAGAAAGTTTAGAAAAATGACATTTATACTCCATATATATATATATAAAAGAATTTTATATATTTTAACCAACGTTTCACCTTTGCGGCTGCATCAGGGTTAATATACACAACTGTTACATATCAGAATATTCAATAAATTATAAAACTCAGAAAAGGTATAAAAAAGTATATGTGTATATCCCTCCAGTATTCACTTCAAATTTTGAAAGACAACAAAAAATTGCTTGAAACAACTTGTAATCTAGAGTGAGATATGTTATTTTCAATAACTTTGAATCTAGTACTAGTGTCGTTATTTTCAACAGCTTTTAATACCGTGATTGTATCGTTACTTGAAACAACTTTTAATATATTGCGAGACTCGTTATTTTTATTTCAACGGTTCATTTTGTTGGACAGGTTTCTTCAGAATGCAAAGTTATTTTCATTTAATAACGACAAAGTTCTAGTAATTCAGCGGTTTTATGTAGCTATTGATAGACCTAACTTCACAAATATACAACGCATTAACACACACCAAAAAATTTACAGCAGTGAACAAACTGAAATTAGGAGACAAACTGACTACATAATACACCAATTACTCTTTAAATTACAGAAATCGCTCGTTAACTCTAGCCTAACTTGCTCTTTATATCTGGTTCATAGAAAATTCCACACGTGAAGCTACGCATTCACTACGTGTCCTTTCTCTGTCCAAACAAAATACAAATGTGTGAAATGAAACATAGCGTACAACACTACCCCTTTTTTTAGCAGTGAAGTCCCTTGAATAGTCAGTTGCATAAAAAACAATAGTGCCATATACTTGAATTATTATAAGTTAGAATGAACTAGCTCTTGATAATTAACACTATTAATAATTCATAAATATAGAAATTAACCCATTAATTAAATATGTTACACAAAGTATCTTTAATGTGTGTGTTTGGAATTATGCACAAAGCTACACAATGGGCTATCTGTGCTC